AAACCGTTGCAAAACGAATGCTCAGGGACCAAAACGAGCAGTTCGGGGTCCCGAAAATAGATTGTTAAGCACCGAAAGTGGCATTCGGCCACGAAGTGGGTTTCTCGGACCCCAGTGTCCCTCAAAAGGGAGAAAATAGGAAGTATGCCAAAAATTAGAGCAATAGGAGACGGTTAAGCAGTCCCGAACCGAGGCACACGGCCTACGGTCCCGAAAAACCGAAAATCGGACTTCGAAATGGGTAAAATGGCCTACAACCACAAAATGTAGCCTACGGACATTGAGAGATGGTCTACGGGACCTCTCCCTTCCCTCAGGAAAAGAAACAAAGAAAACCGAGCCTGGTTCGCAAACCGAGGCAAAGTACAAAAGAGGGTTCGGAAGTCCGGAGGCAGGGCTCACGGCCGCAACTCTGAAAATTCTGAACAAGCACACTATGCAACATCACCAAGCGGTCAATCGGTGACGTCTGAGTCTTAAGGTCGGTCAAAAATGAGGTGTCTACAATAACCAACATGCCCCTAACCCCATCTCTCTCTCTCTCTCTCTCTCTCTCTCTGTCTCTCTCTCTCTCTCACGTGCATGCGCGCTTTTCAAACCCTAACTCTCTTTCTTTCTGTATTGTAGTTGTTGGAGTCACCTAAGTCGTTAGAGTCGCTGTTCGACCTCTCGATCGCATTGCACCACCAGCGAACTATCGCAACACCTCTTCCTCTTCCTTCTTCTCCTCTTCTATCGTCCTCCCCCGCCAAAGGCCTAAAGAAGAAGATTCAAAACGACTCTTTGCCACCAATGTTCGATCTGTCCAGCGGAGTCAGTGCTATACTCTCATATGGCGATGAACGAGGAGGCGGTGGTGGTAGATCTAGATCTTTCAAAAATGATGTCACACTGGCTTGCTCCGGCGTTGGTACATAGAATTTCAAGGTTCTTATCTACTCTCGGTCTTCACCTGTAGAGAAACCTGATCTAAGACGATCATCTGCCGCACTGACTCTCCCTTTCATGGTTTATGGCGAACTCTGGCGATAGAAGTAAACTTTGACGAGTAACACTCTATTCGGTGTTCGTCAACTCTGAATATCTCAACCTATTCATTCTCAAATCTCAACAAATCCTTCATTGCAGGGTCTTTAGATGTTTGCCTAGATGTAGTATAGATACATCAGATGAGTGTTTCGAAGGGTGCATATCAACATGTGTATAAAGATCCAAGTAATCCCATAATTTTGGGTTTACGGTTTAGTTTGTTGTATTCATGTGATCTGTGTAATCAGGTATCGCTAGATCTGCTTTGGCGACGTCTTTGGTCACCTAGAGTTTGGCATTCAAGATGGCTGTGAGGCCAAATACATTTTAATTGCAAAATAACCTAGAATATAGATTTGTTGAACAAAAACCCTAGAATATAGATCTGTTGTTACAAATAATTTTTTTTAGACAGAATGAAGACATTGAACTCATGTACTCTCTCTTTTTTTGCTTTGCTTTACTTTCTCTTTTTTTTCCCATTTCCTTTATTTTTTTTTAAATGTAATTTCCTCTATTTTTCTACTAGGAGTTGTTACCTTTTATATAAGCAAGGGGATTTGTGAAATGAGACTATTAACCACAGAGTTGGGAATGTAATTTCTAAAACGTCAAGGGATGAGTAGTAATTAAACCAAATTTCAAGGGGTGTCAATGTAATTTACCTTTAAATTTAACAAGTAGTAAGTCTTCTAACTTTATCTTAGGTTTTAATATAATCTTTTTTTAATTCTTCCATGTAAGCACTTTAACTTTGCTTTTGCTTCAATGTAACTATTTATTTTTTATTTTTTATATTTAAATCTCTAACTTTAACCATTAGAGAAATTTATTTATAAATCTCATTAGAGGACTTGTAACCCAATCAATTTACAAAGTATTCTTGTGTTCCATCTAATCCTATACATTTGAACTTATACTTCAATAGATTTGTTATCCTTTATTAGAAGTATTATGTGAACTATTTTACCCTTATAGACTTATATTATAATATATATATATATATATATATATATATATATATATATATTATAATATAAGTCTATAAGGGTAAAATAGTTCACATAATACTTCTAATAAAGGATAACAAATCTATTGAAGTATAAGTTCAAATGTATAGGATTAGATGGAACACAAGAATACTTTGTAAATTGATTGGGTTACAAGTCCTCTAATGAGATTTATAAATAAATTTCTCTAATGGTTAAAGTTAGAGATTTAAATATAAAAAATAAAAAATAAATAGTTACATTGAAGCAAAAGCAAAGTTAAAGTGCTTACATGGAAGAATTAAAAAAAGATTATATTAAAACCTAAGATAAAGTTAGAAGACTTACTACTTGTTAAATTTAAAGGTAAATTACATTGACACCCCTTGAAATTTGGTTTAATTACTATTCATCCCTTGACGTTTTAGAAATTACATTCCCAACCCTGTGGTTAATAGTCTCATTTCACAAATCCCCTTGCTTATATAAAAGGTAACAACTCCTAGTAGAAAAATAGAGGAAATTACATTTAAAAAAAAATAAAGGAAATGGGAAAAAAAAGAGAAAGTAAAGCAAAGCAAAAAAAGAGAGAGTACATGAGTTCAATGTCTTCATTCTGTCTAAATAATTACAATGACAGGGGGGTTAGTATAATTTTCCAAACGTTAGAGGGTGATATGTATTAAACTCAAACCTTAGGAGGTGTAAGTGTAATTTACCCTAAATTTAATGATTTGACAATTAATTAGGATATTTAAAGAAATTCTCTCTCATATCTTTCTCTAATCACCTGTCAATTAAATCTTGTACACATTATTGGGTTTAGAAAGTAAACTTTCATATAATTTTCTTATTAAATAATTTATTCTAGAGTTAATTATTTAAAAGTCTTATTTATAAATGATATGGTAGTTCAGATCCTATTTAAGATTTTTTGAACAAATAAGTTTTATTTAGTAAAACTCAGAATATTATCAGTTTTTCTCAATATTTAAAACGAAGAACATTATCAATTTTGCATAATAATGTCCCATATAATTGTTTCACTAACTGATAAAAAAAACAGAGTATGAGATTAAACGATTTTGCCCTTCTACTTATTGGTTTGATTCAACTATCTAATAAAACAAAGAATATTATTCACCTTGCTTGGTTTCCAGTTTTCCAAAACACTTTTCAGAAAATTCTACTATCTTATTTTCCTTGTTTTTTTGTTTTTACTGAATTTTTTTAATATTTTAAGTAATTTTTTTACTTTTTAGATACACCTAACATAAATATACCTAAAAAGTAAAAAAATTGTAAAAACAAATCTTTTAAAAATTCATTAAATACCAAAAATACAAAAAAATTTTCATATTTTTAGCAATTTTTAAAATTTTTAGACACACTTAACATAAATACACTTAAAAAGTATAATTTTTGTGATTTTTTTAAAAAAAATTCACTAAATACCAAAAATACAAAAAAATAGTATATTTTTCGTATTTTTGTGTATTTATTAATTTTTTAAAATATTTTTTCATATTTTTTTTACTTTTTAGATACATCTAAGTAAGGTGCATCTAAAAAAGTAAAAAAAATGTTTAAAATTTAAGAAATATTCACTAAAAACAAAAAAACACAAAAACCAAAAAAATCAGTTTTTAAAAAACTTAATCCAGAAAACTCAAACCAAACACAGTGATTAGTTTTTTCAAATTTTAAAATTGAGAACATTATCAGTTTTTTCATTTTTAAATTTTTTATTTTTATTTTTAGTTTTGCACATCAATGTTCCATCATCATACTCCTTTATAGACACAAAATTTTCAGTTTTGTACAAAAAAAATAATTCAGTCTTTCAAATTTTTCAAAAAAAAAAAAACATTCAGTATATTTGGTTTCAGTTTTTTGAATTAAGTTTTTTAAAAATTTAGTTTTTTGTTTTTCATTTTTTTTTTGTTTTTAGTGAATACTTTTAAAATTTTAAGCATTTTTTTATACTTTTTTATATGCACCTTACTTAGATGTATCTAAAAAGTAAAATATTTGTAAAAACATATTTTAAAAAATTAATAAATACACAAAAATACGAAAAATATACTATTTTTTTGTATTTTTGGTATTTAGTGAATTTTTTTTAAAAAAATCACAAAAATTATACTTTTTAAGTGTATTTATGTTAAGTGTGTCTAAAAATTTTAAAAATTGCTAAAAATATGAAAAAAATTTAGTAAAAACAAAAAAATACGAAAAACAATTAAGTAGAATTTTCTTAAAAGTGTTTTCAAAAAATTTACATAATTTTTTTTTTTTACTTTTTTCAATTTGAAATTGATGTTTTAAAGTTTTAAAAATCAAAATAAATGACAAATCATATTTCTTTATACATAATCATAAATAATGAACAATCATTATTTGAATAAATGTCAAATCATATTTCTTTATACATAATCATAAATAATGAACAATCATTATTTGAAATGTAATTCTAATTATTAAAAATTTAATAAGACTTGAAGGTTCAAAACATCTTAATTATGATTTAATAGAGTATAAATTCGTAAATTAGGACTCGTGTGTAAATGACCTTTATTCTAATTCCTTTCTTTTCTTCTCCTTTTATTTTATTAAATTACTCTATAATTGATTGCTTCGACATATTCATCTTTTTTTTTTTCTTCTTCTCAACATATTTTGGGGTCTACTTATTGAGTATTGACCATGTTTTTGATTTATGCAGTGCTTTGTTTGTATTGAGTTTACAACCTTTACCTACCAAAGTTATTCTTTCAGCTTCCTTTCTTACCTTTCTTACCTTTCAGCTTCCTTACTTACCTTTCTTACCTACCAAAGTTATTCTGTGTTGCTTCCTTTCTTACCTTTCTTATCCTTCACCTACACACCAAAGTTGTTTAAAATTTGCAGAGGTTGTTCGACCTGTTTTTTTTTTTTTTTTTGCTTGGTTTCATTACCTTTCCTTCTTTCAGAACAAACACCATGGACGTATTTGGGATCTTTATCTCTCCATTTGTGCAAGCTACGGTTGATAAATTGTCCTCTTATTTAATCAACTTAGTGAGCACAGCGGACGTTGGCACTGGCATCCAGAATCTGAAGAAGGCATTAGAGGATTTAGAGACTCTGTTGGCTGATGCAGAGAACAAACAAGTGTACGACAAGGATATCAAAAAGTGGCTAGAAGAGGTTCAACCTTTGGCTTACGATGCAGATGACTTATTGGATGATTTTGCCACTGAAGCTCTCGAAAGGAAGATAATGGCGGAGGAGACAACGATGGGAAGAAGACCAGCTAAGTTTCCACGCCTCTCTTCTATTTTTCCATTCAATTTAAAAAATGGGTCTAAGCTAAATGAGATTACTAGTCAATTACAAGAAGTTGCTACGATAGGAAAAGATCTTGGTTTAGATAAAAGACTTGCTGGGAGGATGTCTACAGATCTATGGCAGAGATCACAAACTACATCTTTGAAGGAGCCTCACATTCATGGCAGAGATGAAGACATGAAGCAAATTATCGAATTGCTACTTGGGGATGCACCTACTGCAAAAAAGTTTGATGTAATTCCTATTGTAGGCATGGGTGGGATCGGCAAGACTACACTAGTTCAGCACATTTATGATCACGACAAAGTGGAAAAGCATTTCAATATGCAAGCATGGGTTTGTGTTTCTGTTGACTTCGACATTCTGGGAACAACAAAGGCAATTCTCGAGTCATTCACTCACCGTCCATGTGATTTGGGCAAGTTAAATGAGGTTCAAGTCCAACTAAGAAACACACTGGCAGAAAAAAAGTTTTTGCTTGTTCTAGATGATGTGTGGCACTATGGACATGATGGGTGGAATTCGCTACGATTGCCCTTTGAAGCCGGAGCACCTGGAAGTAAAATCATTGTGACAACGCGACAAGGAGGTGTTGTAAAGCAGATGGGTATGGATGAATATCTCAATTTGAAAAACTTATTATATGATGATTGTTGGTTAATCTTTGCCCATCATGCATTTGAGAATAGAAATATCATGGAATGCCCGGAATTGGTATCAATTGGGAAGAAAATTGTTAAGCATAGGTGTGGAGGCTTGCCCTTGGCAGCTAGGGCCCTTGGCAGCTTATTACGATGTAAACAAGAAGAGCGTGAATGGAAAGAAATACTAAATAGCAATATATGGAATGAGGAAAGTGGCATTCTCTCAGCATTGAAATTGAGCTACCTTCATCTCCCTTCCCATTTGAAGAGGTGCTTTTCTTACTGCGCAATTATCCCAATGAACTACGAATTCAAGGAGGAGGAATTAGTCTTGCTATGGATGGCTGAAACCGTCAAGTGGTAACAAATTGAAATTCATAATGCATGACCTCATCAATGATTTGGCTCAAGATGTCGCAGGAGACAAATGTTTTAGGTTCAAGAATAATTTGGAGTATGGCAGGCATAACAAGATTTCGGACAAAGCTCGACATTCATCTTACGTTGGTAGCACTTATCAAGGAATCAAAAAATTTAAAGTTTTTGATGATGCCAAATGCTTACGAACATTCTTAGAATTTTTGCCACAACAACAATTTCACTACGTAACGAGGTACTTGATACATGATTTGTTGCCAAATTTAAAATGCTTACGCGAGTTGCGTTTGTGTGGTATTGGTATAATTGAACTACCATATTCCATTGGAGATCTAAAGCACTTGCGGTACTTTGATATATCCTATTCTGGGATTACACGGTTGCCTGAAACAGTGGTAACTCTCTACAATTTACAAGTCTTGTTTTTGCAATTTTGTTCTCGACTTCAGAAGTTGCCTCTAAACATAGGGAGGTTGGTGAACTTGCGCCATTTTGACATGACTGGCGTGGATATTCCATCATCAGAAGAGATGTCGCCACATATAGGTAAATTAACTAGTCTCCAAACATTGTCAAATTTTATAGTGGGTAACGATTGTGGGCGTAAAATAGGAGAGTTGAAAAACCTATCGAACATTCGAGGGGCAATACACATATCAAGATTGGAGAATGTCGGTGGTGTTAAGGATGCAAGGGATGCCAATTTTATGTCTAAGGAGGAGTTAAAAGAGTTATTGCTAGAATGGGATGAATCTCACCGTTCGCAGAATGACATAGTTGAGAGGGATGTGCTTGACGTGATGAGACCTTTCAAATTGTTGGAACGACTCACCATCATTGGGTATGGCAGTACAAAATTTCCAAACTGGGTTGGAGATGTTTCATACTCTAAAATGGTGTTCATGCGATTAAAAGGTAGTAAATATTGCATATCTTTGCCACCACTTGGACAACTACCCTTGCTTAAAGACCTTTACATTGAAGGAATGAGTGCAATAAAGTGCCTGGGTTGTGAGTTCTATGGGCAGCAGTGTGGTGCCAAACCTTTCCCCTCTCTAGAGAGACTGAGCTTTAAGTTTATGCCAGAATGGGAGGATTGGTCTGCTTTTGAAAATGAGGGAGTTCAGCCGTTCGGTCATCTCAGTGAGCTTTCCATCATAAATTGTCCCAAACTTGTTGGAAGATTACCAAATGATCTTCCTTGTCTCAATTCTCTCAAAATTGATGGTTGTCCGCAGTTGTTGATTGATGTTTCGAGCCTCGTTCAGCCATCACTTGTGTCCTTGTCAATGAATAATGTTATGCTCCCAAGCCTTCCAGCACTCTTAGGGACGAAGAACACGATTGAACATGGTTCCCTCACCTTGGATATTAGCCATGTTACAGTTCTCGACTCCCTGTGTGATCCAAGCACAACTGATGCAGAGTTACTTGCTAATGCAATGTCTAAGCATTTGACTTCAATAACTGCTTTGAGCATTTCTCATGTTGAAAAACTGGCGTTCCTACCGACATGGTTTACTCGAGATTTGAGGGAACTCAAGAAATTGGACATTAGCAACTGCCAAGAACTCATAACATTGTCGCGGAATAAGGGGCTGCCTTGCATGACGAGACTCGAGTACTTAACAATTTCAAATTGTGGAATGCACACATACACATCTCTTGGGGTGCTTAAAATCTACAGTTGTGAGAGTCTGATCTCTTTTCCAATGAAAGGTTTGCCATCTATGCTGAGAGAACTTGAGGTTTCATATTGTGATGCTTTGGAGTCCCTACCCGAGTTGATGACACTCAATAATCTGCAAGAGTTGAAGGTTTCTGAATGTGCATCACTCACATATTTATTGTCAAGAGGTGGGCTACCATCCACACTAAAACAACTTGGGATTGAGGGTTGCAGAAATCTGGAGTCACTTTTTGCAGAGGAAGGGATCAAAATTGATTGTCCATCTCTTGAAACTATTTGTATCAAATTTTGTTGGAGTCTCAAATCTTTACCTGAAGCCAATAATCTCAGGAATCTCAGTGAATTGCAGATAAACTATTGTTATAATCTGGAGCCCCTGTCACTTGGCGGTCATGATGAGAACAACAACAACATGAACCAACTCAGTTCGCTTCAAAAGCTGTGTTTATATAAATGCAGAGCAAGAATGGTCTCCTACTTTGTGAAGGAAGGGAGTTTCCCCACCAACATCACTTCCCTTGAAATCGGGGATTTCGTCGGTCAACTTCCAGTTCCGCCTCCATCTCCATTAGAGTGGGGTTTGCACAAACTCTCTTCTCTTACAACACTCCACCTTGATGGCGGAGGTTGGCCGTGGGGAGATACGGTGTCCTTTCCAGAAGAAGGGATGTTCCTGCCCACCTCTCTCATCAATTTGACCATCAACGGTTTCCCAAATCTGGAAAGACTCTCTTGTGAGGAGTTTCAAAACCTCACTTCTCTTGAAAGACTTGAAATCTGGAGTTGCCCTAGGCTCGCGTCCTTTCCAAAGGAAGGGTTGCCCCCCTCTCTTTTGCATCTACTGATCTATAGGTGCCCTGAGCTTGCGACCTTTCCAGAACAAGGATTCCCTCCCTCGCTTTTGTCACTGGACATCAGGGGATGTAATCCAATACTGAAACAGAAGTGTGAAAAGGGGAAAGAATATTGGCCCATCATCCAATACATTCCTCAAGTAGATGTCGTAGTATAAGCAGCCACCTGCAAGGTACAAACAAACAAACACAAAATCTGTCCTACCATTTTTATTTATTTATTTGTATTCTCATTACCAATTTCAGATTTTTATCACAAATGAGGATTCATTATATTTGCATCCTCTACCATCACAATATAAAAATTAAAAGGTACAATAAAAAATAAAAAATTTTAAATTTGATCTTATACATATCAAATAATTTGTTTTAGTTTAATATTTAAATTTTTATCAAACAACTTTTCAACTTACAAACAAGCAAACACAAAATTTGTCATACCTATATTGGAGCATGTATATATTTTATATATTAAATTATTAAATATATAATTATATTCTAATTTTTTTTTTCTCTATTTAGTTAGTTGTAATATATTTGTTAAAATATGAATTTTTGTTAGAGATTGGTATCAATTACAAATTATCTTTATTAAGTATAAATGAATATTATGTAAATAGAAAGTAATAATAAGTTTGAGTTGTTTTTCTTTTATTTCTTTAAGATTTGTATGCTTGAGAGATTCGATCTCACTTGAAAGCGAGTTTATTCCTAGAAATCAGCGAGTTTCTTGATGGTTTCTTATTTGTTTGGTTTTACAATTTTCTCAAAATTATTTTCAATCACTTTTTTCTATCTCTTCTCTCATTCTCTCACATCCTACACATCAATCAATCACTTTTTCTCTCACATCCATCTATGCAACTACAAAAAAATTTCAAATCATTCCAAACTACAAACCTACAAAACTAATTTCAAAATATACAACCAAATAAATTTTCAAATTTTGAAAACTCTTTTCAATCTTGTGTTTCAAAATTATTTTCAAAACTAAACCAAACGCAGCCTATGTGGACAGTTTAAATAGTGAATCCCACCAACTATTGTTGTTGTCACCCTTTTGCTCTCCGGGCTTTGTTGTTGTGGAAACAAACTTTAGGATGTATTCATACTTACTGTCTAAGCTGCATTGCGAGATTTTGTGCCTCTTTTCAAGGTATGCCAAAATTATGCTTGATAAAAGACTTTGGCTGCTTTGATTTAACTCAATGCTTCTTGGCTTTGAGGAGAGCTACAATTTTGAATGCAATGGGTCGCTATTTTTTGAGTTTTAGATTGTCATGAGTTTTTTTTTTTATTTTATAAATTTCTTTTCAGAATATATTCATATACTATTGTCCAATCATGGCGAAAGCTCTCATAAGTAATAAAGGAGCAAGAGATATATGAAGAAAATTGAGAATAAAGTCCTTTCCTGAGACTACAATGGTAAACACCTCCCTATTGCACATTGTCATGTAAGACTTTTGATCATTAAGACTTCATTGCCATGCAAGAAGGGATTTTTTTCTTTTTTAGTATCAAGTTGTATTTTTAAACCATCCTGCTTGCATGCTGGATTACATTTGACAATTACAAAGCCACACGTAATCTTGTCAAAATCCATGTGGGCAATCTGTTCTAGTAGTTGGAGGGATTTAGGCTTCCTTTATTAAAGGGGAGTTGAGAAGCCATTTACCCTACTTGGAGTATTATTTAGAATTCAAATCCAAGGCAAATATTCAAAAAAATATAGGAAACTATTAGAAATTGGCATACCGTATAGAGTTTTTGTGTTTGTTTGTTTAAATGTACTTGTTGATTTGTTTAGACTTGTCATGAAGTGGGCGATATGGAAAACAATAAGAAGAAAACATAAGGGGAAGTTCATCTAATAGTAACAAATAGTTCTCTAATCTTTGATAAAATCGGGTTCTTTTCCGGATGGGGTTGACCAAAGACTAAAGTATCTTAGCAGACACTAGCGAGAAATCCTCGCTACTTTGCCGCTCCAAAAATCTTCCGACAAACTCCAAAACATGAAATATTAAAAATTGTTTGCAATGAGAGTCTTAGCTTTAGATATATTTATTCTACTAGATCATAGGCTCTTTAAAAAATAGTCGATTATTTATTCTACTAGATCATAGGCCAACTGCAAGGTACAAACAAACAAACACAACATCTGTCATACCATTTTTATTTATTTATTTTCTCATTACCAATATCATCTCAGATTTTATCACAACTCAGAGTTTACTATCTACTTCTTTTGGATCGTAAGAGAGTTTTAGTTTGTTGTGAATGTTGAAATTACCAATACAATACTAATTAATTATTATTAAACACACTACTCTGTTTTTCAATTCATTCTTTGTTTTTTCCTTTCAAATATTTCCTTTTCTCTTAATTTTCATTCTCATTTGTTATTTTATCTTGTATTATTCATAGGTGCTAATGGAAAAAGTGCCCTGTTCGTTTGGAAAAGAGTTTGGTTATGACTTTTGAAAAGAGGTTTGAATTGTGTGTTATGAATTTTAAAAATAGTTTTTGAATTGAGTTTTGAGTTGTGTGTTTAGTTATGAGTTTTGAAATTTTTTGATTAGAATCACAATTCCAAAAGTAAACCAAACGCAACCTATTTTTCTATAAAATGTTTTCTCTACAAAATGATCTCCTATGTTTGATTGCAACTTGAAACTAATGTACTAGTGGTTGCATTAGACCAGCATGAATGTTATGGGGACTTTCAAGGTCTAGATATTAGTTGGTCACTTCACCCCAACAAGCCAAGTTCTTTGGGCATATGATAACACCAGCATGAATGTTATGGGGACTTTCAAGGTCTAGATATTAGTTGGTCACTTCACCCCAACAAGCCAAGTTCTTTGGGCATATGATAACACCAGCATGAATGTTATGGGGACTTTCAAGGTCTAGATATTAGTTGGTCACTTCACCCCAACAAGCCAAGTTCTTTGGGCATATGATAACACCAGCATGAATGTTATGGGGACTTTCAAGGTCTAGATATTAGTTGGTCACTTCACCCCAACAAGCCAAGTTCTTTGGGCATATGATAACACCAGCATGAATGTTATGGGGACTTTCAAGGTCTAGATATTAGTTGGTCACTTCACCCCAACAAGCCAAGTTCTTTGGGCATATGATAACACCAGCATGAATGTTATGGGGACTTTCAAGGTCTAGATATTAGTTGGTCACTTCACCCCAACAAGCCAAGTTCTTTGGGCATATGATAACACCAGCATGAATGTTATGGGGACTTTCAAGGTCTAGATATTAGTTGGTCACTTCACCCCAACAAGCCAAGTTCTTTGGGCATATGATAACACCAGCATGAATGTTATGGGGACTTTCAAGGTCTAGATATTAGTTGGTCACTTCACCCCAACAAGCCAAGTTCTTTGGGCATATGATAACACCAGCATGAATGTTATGGGGACTTTCAAGGTCTAGATATTAGTTGGTCACTTCACCCCAACAAGCCAAGTTCTTTGGGCATATGATAACACCAGCATGAATGTTATGGGGACTTTCAAGGTCTAGATATTAGTTGGTCCCTCTGAGCATGAGGCAGAATTCCATGTCATGGATGTCCCGACAACTTTCAACCTATTGTTGGGCAAGCCTTGGTTGCATAAGATGAGAGCAGTGTCTTCAACTATACACCAGTTGGTGAAGTATCCGCACAATAGAGGGATTGCCATAGTTTTTGGCAATTCTACGATCCACCCTCCTCCAGAAGTCATAACGCCAGTACTGAAAGTACAACATGGGAGTGGAAATGTTTTTCACTCGGGTTTTACCTTGACAGAAGCACGGCTAGTGCAGAAAATCATGGCAACAGAGACTCAGTCAGTCTATATGATGAACAAGCTAGGATACATCCCAGGATCTGGATTGGGAAGAAGTGGTCGATAAGGCACCACAGAGACAACTAAGGTAATCCACAATGCACATGCATTTGGGTTAGGATATGAACCAATAGTAGAAGACTGAGAGAAGAAAGGGAAGGAAATAAGAGAGAGAATCAATGCAAAGAAGACGGAAAAGAAGTATGAGCTGGTTTATAGGCCAATCCATGGAACCTTGAATGGACGCTTTGTCTGCAGGAGAAAACTTCCCTTTTTGTGGTTTTCCTGAGCCCTAGTTTGATCAAGTGGAGAGAAAGAGATACCCTGGGTTTGAGATCTTCTTCGATCATCAGCTTTCCAACAGTGACGAGGAGTGGTTAGATCCTAGTATCGACATCGAACAAGACAGAGAAGTCAACTCAGAAAGCAGCACAGAGGCAGTCTTGGGTCTAACACTGGCTGATTTACTAACAGAATTGCGTACTAGCACTAAACCGATGAATTTGGGGGATATGACCATTGTCATGATCAGGGAAGAGGTACCTACTGACTGCTTAAGCTTCATCATAGATGTAGTGAATGGCTCATAAATAAATTGGCATTTTGAAAAGAGTTGTATCTAGAGTTCTGAATTGGCTGTTGAGTCTGAGTCTGGTGGGCCTGTGGGGTTGGAGGCAGATTTAAGTTTGTCTAAAATGTCTGAGTCTTCTTTTTCTTTCTATTTTGATTCTGTTGCAACTGGTGAGCCCGAGGCTTTGAATGAAGATGTGATTTCTGCTTACTCTTCTATGCCCATAGTTCATAACATTGACCAAAATTTTCAAGATCTAGATAAAAACAAAGAGGAAGAAATTCCTCGGGCTTTAAAAAATTTAATCGACTGGGAGGAAGAAAGGCATGCTAAGCCATTAATGGATGAAATTGTTTCTGTAAGTCTGGGTACTAAAAAAGATCCTCGCTTGATCCAAATTGGTTCTACATTGTATTCAGAGGAACGTGAATAATTAGTTGCTTTATTAAAATAATTCAAAGATGTTTTTGCATGGTCCTACGAAGACATGCTAGGAATTGACCCTGAGATTGTACAGCATAAGATTCCTCTCGACCCTAAGGCTTGACCTGTCAAACAGAAGCTTCGCAGAATTCATCCGGATTGAGCCTTGAAAATTAAAGAAGAGGTTACCAAGCAAATCAATGCTGGGTTTTTGCTCGTATTAGAATATTCTACTTGGTTAGCCAATATTGTGCCAGTTCTGAAGAAAGATGGTAGAATCCGAGTTTGTGTTTGTAGACGCGCCCGAACGTCCCGGGAAAATATCGTTTTGTTCGTTGGGGCTCACTACAGGTCGGACTCAATGTCACGGTTCTTAATCTAATCTTGCAAAGTGCAATGCAAGATTGATAAATCACCAAAGAGTGCAAATCTGGCAAATCGTTTTGAAAAACTGATTTTTAGAAAGAAGTGCCAAACGTGGACTACTTTGCCAAATACAGAGTCGCCACCTAAATATTTTATTTTGGGAAAATTTAGAAAACCCTGACTCATGCCTAAGGCCACGTGTCCGTCATCACCAAAGTTGTCTCAGCTTGGGAACTTGGGTACAAGAGGGAAAGGTCATGCAATGAGCACCCCCGCTTGCCCGATCAAAGATCGGCCACTACTAAACATGATATCTTATTTTTGAAAACACATGTGCTCTTATTCCGGTTATTAACCTAGAATTACTATGTGATGCGCACAGCATACAAGTATAGACTAGATCGCCTAAGTTGGAACAAAACATCTCATGTTTGTTTTTTAAAGCGGTTTGCTACTCGTAAGTAGGCTAAAATGTAGATTTTGCCACCCTCAAGTGGGCTTAGAAAACATGGTGATTTGTCACTCTCAAGAGGGCTTAAAAAACTCGCAATCAATGAATTGTTCCAATTCAAGTGATCCAACCTTCACCCGCAGGCATTCAAGCAATTGTATCACATAAATAGTTAGCCTCATATTAAGCATGCTATCATGGCAGTCACTCACACACATGCAAGGATGCTAAAGCATAAATACTCACCGAGTACTCCAAACTAAAACAGAAACTAGTTAGTAATCAATGCATGATTCTTGTTCATGTTAAGATGGCTAATGCAACACATGCAAAATGCAACTAAGATAGGCTCGGCTATTCTAAGATGGCATATGAGATGCTACAGATAACATGTATTCAACCCGAAATTGAAATACAATGCAGTTAGTATGATGCACCGAGCCCGGTGCATGCAAGACAGATGCATGAATGCAAACATGCGAAGCATAAGGATGCTAATTGAAACATGCCCTAAAACTAACCATCGTAAGAACATGCATTTGGGTTAGGATATGAACCAATAGTAGAAGACTGAGAGAAGAAAGGGAAGGAAATAAGAGAGAGAATCAATGCAAAGAAGACGGAAAAGAAGTATGAGCTGGTTTATAGGCCAATCCATGGAACCTTGAATGGACGCTTTGTCTGCAGGAGAAAACTTCCCTTTTTGTGGTTTTCCTGAGCCCTAGTTTGATCAAGTGGAGAGAAAGAGATACCCTGGGTTTGAGATCTTCTTCGATCATCAGCTTTCCAACAGTGACGAGGAGTGGTTAGATCCTAGTATCGACATCGAACAAAACAGCGAAGTCAACTCAGAAAGCAGCACAGAGGCAGTCTTGGGTCTAACACTGGCTGATTTACTAACAGAATTGCGTACTAGCACTAAACCGATGAATTTGGGGGATATGACCATTGTCATGATCAGGGAAGAGGTACCTACTGACTGCTTAAGCTTCATCATAGATGTAGTGAATGGCTCATAAATAAATTGGCATTTTGAAAAGAGTTGTATCTAGAGTTCTGAATTGGCTGTTGAGTCTGAGTCTGGTGGGCCTGTGGGGTTGGAGGCAGATTTAAGTTTGTCTAAAATGTCTGAGTCTTCTTTTTCTTTCTATTTTGATCAACTAAAGCTTAAGGAGCCCGAGGCTTTGAATAAAGATGTTGTGATTTTCGCTTACTTTTCTATGCCCATAGTTCATAACATTGACCAA